CACACACACACACACACACACACACACACACACACACACACACACACAGAAATAGGAAACTTAAAATAACAGCAAAATAGGAGAATTTCAAAAAGAAGAAAATTCATCCAGAGTTATGCTAAATGAGGCACAACATGTGACCCAGCAAACAGCCTGGGTGGGAAAGGGAAAAGCGGCCATGAGGACAAATGCAGATACTGCAAGTTCAAGGCCATGGTCTTGACTCTCAGCGGCCAGGTCTGCCTGCTGACTCCTCATTCTGGCTTCTTTACAAGCTTTTAAAGTTAGTGTCTTCCTAGTCTGGGATATAAGGAATGCTTTCTAAAAACGAGTAGATTTAAGTAAAACAATCCCCACTATATATTATTCCTATATGCCACTTCAGCTAAAAGGACTGAGAAACGTCAGACGTGAGCTAGGAGGGGACTTAAGAGGGGAGAAGCCACAGCCTGCCGCTCTCATGAGGTCCCTTCTAGAAGGGCATAGGTGTTCTTTCATTGTCTTCCTAAAAATGGCTGGATGAGGTAAGAGAAAACAGTAGCGGCATGTTGGACAAACAAAAGACTTTTAGATGAGAGAAGAGAATAACAAATTACTTGATTACCAGGTCTTTCTACAATATCAGAACAGTTTGGGGAAAATATACACAAATATTTCACATAATGGATCATAAGGTACTAAAAATTTAATACTTAGGAAGTCATAAAAACTCAAGATAAAGAAATACCAAAAATTTAAGTCAATATATTAATATATGTCTACAGTCAATTATTATTAGTTTGGACCACAAGTAACTGCAGTTTTTGGCCATTACTTATTTTATTTATTTATTTATTTTGAGACAGAGTCTCACTCTGCTGCCCAGGCTGGAGTGCAGTGTTGTAATCTCAGCTCACTGCAAGCTCCGCCTCCTGGGTTCAAGTGATTCTCGTGCCTCAAGTTTCCCAAGTAGCTGGGATTACAGGTGTGGGCCACCACACCTAGCTAATTTTTTGTATTTTTAGTAGGGACAGGGTTTCACCATGTTGGCCAGGCTGGTCTCGAACTCCTGACCTCAGGTGATCTGCCCGCCTTGGCCTCCCAAAGTGCTGGGATTACAGGCATGAACCACTGCACCCAACTGCCATTACTTTCAATGTCAAAATTGTACCAATCTATTAAAATAAATTAGTAATGACCAAGTCACATGCCCCACCTTTCGATAGTAAGACTGATGGGCAATTTAGTAGCTTATCCAAAGACTGCCTCATAAGCATTTTTAAAATGTTATTTTAAAATATAACATTTCTTATATTTTACAATAATAGATCCAAGCATGGGAGCTTGGCAAACATTTTTAATAATAAAATAATAGCAATGAAAAAGTGTTAGGACAGAGCAACAATGCAAACCTTGCTACATCCTGCAGAAGTCAGAGACTTCAGAGCATTTGATGTGCTTGTGTTGGGTTACATGGTTTAAAAAAAAATGCCTAATGTGAAACTAGATACCATATATCCAGGATAACAGGAAAATAAGAAAATGGATGGAAAGTAAACAGCTTTTCCATATAAAGCCCAAGTGAACATATGAAAATGTCTGAGCCAGCCGGGTGAGCTTGCTCACGTCTGTAATGTCAGCCCTTTGAGAGGCCAAGGTGGGTGGGTCGCTTGAGCTCAGGAGTTTGAGACCAGCCCGTGCAACGTGCAAAAACCCCATCTCTACCAAAAAAAAAAAAAAAAAATTAGCCAAGCATGCTGGTGTGCACTTGTAGTCCCAGTTACTTGGGAGGCTTAGTGAGGCACAAGAATTGTTTGAGCCTGGGAGGCAGAGTCTGTAGTGAGCTGATATGGTACCACTGCACTCCAGGCTGGGCAACAGAGTAAGACCCCATCTCAAAAAAAGAAAAGTGGCTGAGTTAAGAAAGGCCACAAAGAGACTGAATTATGTGCCCGCTCTGCTTGAAGGCATTTGTTGAGCAGTTACTGACTTTGTGAAATAGGTTTAAATTCAAATTTGAAAATTTCTGATTAGAAGTAAGATTCTCCAAGCCTTTCAGAATGAGAGATGATCAAACTGAGTGACAGCAGGTGGCTGGTGGTCCAGCTGTTTGATGCTCTTCAGAAAAGTGATGTGGAAAAAGGTTACCATTACTATTGGGCCGACCACGACTTAGATGCCATCCTTCTTTGCCTCCTCACCAAAGTTTACTCATTTTATAACCCTTATGAGTTAAATAGGAGACACAATTTTCCAGTTCCTTTTAGAAATAATCAACATAGAATGTTTGGACCCAAAGAAGACATAGGCCAAATCTATATTCCAGGTGTTAATATTAAAACCTAAACAAACCCTTATGTTGGCCAAGGACTTTATTCTCACAGAAGACTTTTCGTGATAAGAACTTGACCAGCTCTGACTAAGGATAAGCCTAACCCTGCAACCTGTGCTGCGGACCGGCCAAGGCTCCTGCAAATGACAGAAAGACAGGAGCAAACAATGATTCTTTCAATGTCCCTGGTTCTTTGGCAACAATGCCGACTGCCATTTGCATGTGCTATCACATCCTGAATAGGCATGACATGGAGGATGTGAGTAGTCGATTCTTCCTGCTGAAGGGCAGCCAGACGCTAGAGAATCCATGGGAGAGCAGCCCTGGTCAAGCCACAGAGTAGGTCACGAAGGCCCGCACAGCAAGGCTGAGGCTCGTTTCACACTGATGCTATACTGTTTCAATTGGTTTAAACAAGTTTTAAAATAGGAAAGAGAAATGGCAAAGAAGAAATGAAAGTCTAAACAAGTAGTGACAAATGACGAAATGCCAGGCTAAAAATTATATTTTTATATAATGGAAGCATGTGACTTCTAATCTCTCTGTCTACTGACAAATAACTGTGAGAATAGCATTTTGTTTTGAGCAAAGAGAAAATAATTTTGACCTGTGAAATATGATCATTTTATACTTCTTGTCTCATTGTGTGAAATGATAAAATATGCTGGACTAGAAAAATAACATTTATTATTTGACACAAACCCCGTTGTCCAGAACTATCAACCACTTTCCAAAATAGAGACATATGGCTGGGTGCAGTGGCTCATGCAAGTAATCCTGGCACTTTGGGAGGCCAAGGTAGATGCATCACTTGAGGTCAGAAGTTCAAGACCAGCCTGGCCAACATGGTGAAACTCTGTCTGAACCAAAAATATAAAAACTAGCCAGGTGTGGTGGCATGCACCTATAATCCCAGCTACTAGGGAGGTTGGGGCAGGAGAATTGCTTAAACTCAAGAGGCGGAGGTTGCAGTGAGCTGAGATCATGCCACTGCTCTCCAACCTGAGCGATGGAGCGAGATTCCATCCCCAAAAAAAGAAAAGATAAAAAAAGAGATGTGGGGAGAAAAGTAAAAAAGGTCAACACGGCTGGGCACGGTGGCTCAAGCCTGTAATCCCAGCACTTTGGGAGGCCGAGGCGGGTGGATCACGAGGTCAAGAGATCGAGACCATCCTGGTCAACATGGTGAAACCCCGTCTCTACTAAAACTACAAAACATTAGCTGGGCATGGTGGTGCATGCCTTTAATCCCAGCTACTCAGGAGGCTGAGGCAGGAGAATTGCCTGAACCCAGGAGGCGGAGGTTGCGGTGAGCCGAGATCGCGCCATTGCACTCCAGCCTGGGTAACATGAATGAAACTCCGTCTCAAAAAAAAAAAAAAAAAAAAGGTCAACACACTCAGATATTGTGATCTAAGACATGGAGCATTTTCTGAAAACGAAAAATATGCTAAAATAAGATACTTGGGTGAATAAAAAATGTTTTGGTTATGTTTTCATGTAGCTTGGGTGCTTTAATGGAAAGGAAGTTCAAAAGTTAAACTAATTAACAAATAATAAATAGGAACTTCATTGTGTCACATAGGTATTAAATCAGACCACAAGACTTGAACTTCAGCTCCTGGAACACTCCCTCTCGACAAACAAATTGGAAAAACAGATTTTGGACCAGACCAGTGAAATAAACAAATTGCAAGATAAGAACAGGTAATAATAACAGTGCAAAAACATTTATAATTCAGAATTGTACACTTTCGAGATATGAAAGTTGGTCTCAAATGATGAATTCCCAGAATGGTGAGTTTACTCATGTCTAGTGTTAAGGGTCAGGAACTTCACGAGGGAGGAGATGGGAAAGGGCTTGGAGACAATTCCTGCACAGGCACAGATCTGCTAACACAGTCCTGGGTTTTGCCTGCATTCCCTGTCCCCTTAAAGGTCCTCTTACAGTAATCCTCCAAACCCTGCCTGAGTATTATACATGCTAATCTGTTTCAAAAACACAGCTAGTGTGTGGAGTGAAAGCACCGCTGGCCTAGGCATTTTTTTTCAGTATTAACTTGACCAAGATCCTTTGCCCTTGGGGACTCAGTTTCATTCAACACACAATGATCTACAATGCGGAAGCTACACTTAGACTGTAAGCCAATGCACACTCTATGATCCAATGCTTCCTCTTCAAACACATGATAAAGTAAAACCAAAAATTAATATTAAACATGGTTATATTAATATTTAAATAAAATTAGAAAAATCCCAAGATCGACAATAGAAAAAAAAAATTGTAGGTGATAGATAGAGACTGTTTTCATAGGTTTGTTCCACTTGGAGACATAAGAGGATAATTTTATGCACACAACTGACGTGCCTATTTCCTTGTTTTTAATCAAGACGTGTATATACAACACGGAACAAGGCTATAACAATATATTCTATTTGACAATTTAAATAATTCTTTATTCTTAACCAGAAATGATGATGTACTTCTTGTTTAATAATTGTTCTTTGCTGTTAATCAAGAACTAAGCTGAAATAATTCTTTTATACCAAGTTTAAGTCATTATTGATTTAGGGTTTTGAAGAGCAAATCAATTTTTTAATTCAAATATTTTTCTTTCATGTTTCAGATTTCTCTTCTACAAAATGGTAAATGAACATTCGAGACTAATTATTGAGATATAACAATCCTGCTAATTTCATTTACTTTTAAGTTTTTTTGTTTGTTTGTTTGTTTTTTTAGACAGGGTCTCACTCTGGTTGCCCTGGCTGGAGTGCAGTGGTGCCATTTCAGCTCACTGCATCCTCGACCTCCTGGGCTCATGTGATTCTCCCATGTCAGCCTCCCAAGTAGCTGGGACTACAGGCAGGTGTCACCACACCCGGCTGATTTTTTGTACTTTTTTTTAGTAGAGACAAGGTTTTTCCATGTAGCCTAGGCTGGTCTTGAACCCCTGGACTCAAGCAATCTGCCCGCCTCAGCCTCTTAAAGTGCTGGGATTATAGGCATGAGCTACCATACCAGGCCTCATTTTTAAAAAATAGTCTTAGTAATGTTCTCTGCAACATACTGTAGTGACTCCAGGAGCATATGGAAGCTGGAGATGACTTTTCTCTTGCCTTTTATACCACGATGTCCATGACAAACCCAGGCTGTGTCCAGTTTGTGGAACATACCTCAGTACTGAATACTGTTTCCCCATTTGGGTTTCAAATTTAGCATGCTACAATGCTAAAATTACCAATTTGGGTCAATTATGTCCCCCAAATATCATCTTTGCAAATATATGTCCAATCATACTGCTTTTCAACTATGCCTGCAAGAAGAATAAGCTTTTTCTCATCAGCTGTAGAAATCATATTCTCTTTTGTCACAAATATGAAATGAAATAATAGAAAGGTTTTTTACATCAACAGTTATAAATACTTTTTTTAAAATTTTATCACATTTTAGGTTTTGGGGTACATGTGAAGAACATGCAAGATTGTTGCATAGGTACACACGTGGCAGTGTGATTTGCTGCCTTCCTCCCCGTCACCTATATCTGGCAACTCTCCCCTTGCTATCTCTCCCTAGCTCCCCATCCCCCACCGTCCCTCCCCCCTAGTGTTGATGATTTTACAGGTGTATGGGTTCTGCATGCTGTGTTTTCTACATTAAATTCCGACTGGCCTAAGATTTTATTTGCAACAACATCATTACAAAAATATGCAAATGGTATTTCACATTGGGCAAATAATATTTTAAATAATCTTCTATAATTTCCCAAAAGTGCAGTTGCTTTCTTTATAGAGTAGATTCAAGCCAGGCAGGGTGGCTCATGCCTGTAATCCCAGCACTCTGGGAGGCCAAAGTGATAGGATTTCTTGAGGCTGGGAGTTTGAGACCAGCCAGGGCAACATAATGAGAACTAATTTCTACAAAAAATAAAAAAGTTAGCCAGGTGTGGTGGCACGTACTTGTAATCCCTGCTATTTGGGAGGCTGAGACAGGAGGATAACTTGAGCCCAGGAGTCTGATACCAGCCTGGGCAACATAGACCCCCATCTCTCCAAAATCACATACTGATTCACAATGATCAGGGAGCTGGAATACATTTCAGAGCTGCAATTGAATATCTAATAACTATTATTAATACTGATTGTTACTCTTTATGGGTAAGACACTTAATGGATAGTCAGTTCCTTGGCTGGTTAATATTGTTTGCAGGCTTAAAGATTCAGAAAATGTTACTGTCAAAAAAAAAAGGTGGATTTACAGATTATTTGAACTAAAAGGGGCCCCAGTGGTCATCTAATCGGATGCCTTCATTTTCCATAGAGCTTAGTTTAGATAGATAGATATTCACCTAGACAGACATGCACCTGAGGTCCACAGCAGGGTGGCTGCTCACGTGACACAGGTGGGATTCCCAGCCCAAGGCTCCTTCCTTTTGTCTGAAGGTGCTAGTGACACCTAAGGTGACGTCTTAGGGTCTTCATTTTCTCTTCAGTGAAACTGATTTTCCTACGTACTCCCAGTGATCACTTCTATTTACAGTCCTTACATGGCCATAAGGGTAGGTTTTCCTCAAGGAAGACATTCATAGCCTTGTCTTTTTAGTTTGATGTTGTGAAAATCATCAAAACATCTAACCTTTCACAGTCTTAAGACTATGGTTCATGATGCTTTCATTTCTTGATTTTTCTCCAAAACCCTAAAAAACATCTTGTACATAGTAGGTATTCAGTACATCACTGTTTAAGATAAACAGAAGATAAGACATGATCTGAACCCAACTATCACTCAGTGAAGCATCCATGTCAATTTCACATGCTTCAGTTCCTAGGAAACTAAGTGATTGAGGAGGCTTTAGATAATTCACAGCAGGGTTAAATGGCCGATTCAAGGTTTCTTAATCAAATAAGTGGGAAATAATTTTTCTCTGCTCTTCACATGCCTTCTCCAAAAAGTTAGTGAAATGTATAGAATATTTCACTAGCTGTAACGTGACATTAACAGAAGCTGTAGTAAACCAGAATATAATTCTGAAACATAAGATGCCATCATTGATATATTTCATTATTAAATAAGATATCTGACTTATACAGGACTCAAAAAAGGGAATAAGAGGTCCTCTTCCTTTAAAACAAAACTTTGCAATATGCAAATTCATGTGTACCAAACTTTATATTGGAAGGAAAATGTTAGAGATAGGAATTTGACATCTGGTCACTGTTTTACTATTTTTAAAAGTGTCTATATTTTGAAAGCTTTATTTACTGGCCTTGTACAAACAGAATGAAGATCTTGAGATGTCTTTAGTTGCTGCTTTTCCTGCAGTTATTACAGAAAGCCTCTTTAGGTACCTCTTTATAATGTAGTGTCAGGCTATCGAATTTTCCTCTTGTATTTTAGCTACAAAACAAACTACCAGCCGGGCATGATAGCTGACACCTGTAATCCCAGCACTTTGGGAGGCCAAGACAGGTGGATCACCAAGTCAGGAGTTCGAGATCAACCTGGCCAACATGGGAAAATGCCATCTCACTAAAAATACAAAAAATTAGTTGAGCATGGTGGCAGGCACCTGCAATCCTAGCTACTTGGGAAGCTGAGGCAGGAGAATCACTTGAATCTGGGAGGCAGAGGTTGGAGCAAGCCAAGGTCATGCAACTCACCAGCCTGGACGACAGTGCGAGACTCTGTCTCAAAAACAAAAACAAAAACACCTGCCAAGGACCTTGACTGTGTATGTCTTTGAGTTTGTTCCTGGGAAACAGTTAACATTCTGAAATGCTTCTTATTTACATAGACTCTGCTCTCTTAGATTTGTTTCCTCTGGTTTAATGGATAGGAACTATTTTTCGTTTAAAGTGGTATGCTCTTCACTGAACGTATGTATAGTAATATATGTCTATAAATTAAAATTAGAAACAAAAACTATATAACCTTTAATAAAATCTCTTAGGACTTATATGGCATAACTTTCCCAGCTCTCTAAATAATTTTTAAAAAGTTCTTCAAGGGGCTTCCTCACATATTAACTGTTATGTATTAAGTATAAGCGACACTGCTGGTTAGATATTTTAGAAGGAAGGGGGCCGCATTAAAAGAGAGAGAGAAGCAGATTTCAGGGTCAGAAAGTTCTGTGATTGGATTCTGATCCTGTGACCTGCTGTGTGGGATTTTAGGTATGTGATTCATTGTCCCTACCTTTCTTTTCTTTTTTTTTTTTGTTTTTGAGATGATGTCGCACTCTGTCACCCAGGCGGGAGTGCAATGGCACAATCTTGGCTCACTGCAGCCTCTGCCTTCCGGGTTCAAGTGATTTTCCTGTCTCAGTCTCCCAAGTAGCTGGGATTACATGCATGTTCCACCACACTTGGCTAATTTTTATATTTTTAGTAAAGACAGGGTTTCATCAGGTTGGTCAGCCTGGTCCTGAACTCCTAGCCTCAGTGATCACCTGCCTCAGCCTTCCAAAGGGCTGGGATTACAGGCATAAGCCACTGTGCCCAGCCCTCAATGTCCCTAAGTTTCAGTTTCCTCACTGGAAATGGGGATAATGTGGATAGTAATGTTAGTAAACATTCATTGAGTGTTACTGCGTGGCAGGAGCTAGTGTAAGCATTTACATTTTAAAACTCATTTGCTCCTCAGACCAACCCCATGACCTAGGTAATATTACCCTAATTGACAGGTGAGGACATTGATGCATAGGGTGACCAAATAAACTGCTCCAAATCACAGGGCTGGTGAGCCAGGATGTGAATCTGGTAGCTGTATTTACCTCCTTGTGGAGGAGTGTTTCTCACATAGCATTAAATGCTGTTATTATAATTAGGACTAATATTAAAATATAAATAATTTAGGAGAAAGCTAACATCCTACCCAAAAGTCCAGCCCAATTGAAACTCCCCTCTTGAAAAAGCACTTCATGAACACTAAGCTTGAAGAGCAGCACCCTTCCTCTGAACACTTCAGCATCTAATTCATGTAACACCCATGTCCCACCTATCCTGGCCCAGATGGGGAACCTTTCCTTATGTGTATGCCTAAGTCTGCATGTACACACATATATGCTTACAAGTTTACATATACACACACACTTATATATCTAATCTTTTCAGCAAGTTTCGGAGATTCCCTAGGGCTCTGGTAACATCACTTTATAACCTCTACAATATCTTAACAGAGTGCCTTGGGGAAGTAGAAATTCAATAAGCATAAAAGATTTCATTAATAGCTTTCACTAACTAACAATTCTTTTCCTTACAAGTTTCCTAGAAAAGAAGGTGCTAGCTATGGAAGATAATCACATTGTCCAACTGCAGTCAATAAAAGAAGAGAAAGATCAGCTACAGGTGTTAGTATCCAGGCAAAATTCCATCATTGAAGAACTAGAAAAAAAGTTAGTGACTGCCACGGTGAATAATTCTGTTCTTCAAAGGCAGCAACATCATCTCATGGAGACGGTTAACAATTTAGTGACTATGATGTCCACATCAAACCGTAAGTAAAGTACATATCGTTTTTTTTCTTCAGCTTTAATAACCTTTAGTCAGTAAAATTCTCAAAATACTAAAAAATTCTCATCTTTCAGAAAAGGCACTACTTCTCATATATTTCTTATGAAATATTGACCAGTTCAAATGAAGGAAGAAGAGAAGGGGAAACACATATTATCCTAATTATTATGAAGCAAACACCCCAAACATACTTTTGATTTACGGCAGTAAAGAGCCTACTTTTAGTTAGTTCCATCATTAACTAGAAGGTCATTCTTCTAGTTGACTGTGCAAATTACTAAACCACCACAAGTATTAATTTATTTGGGTTTTAAATGGTAAAAATTATATCAGACCCATGGGATGGCGATTAAGATGAAATGATATATACTCTCAGTGAATGGCATAAACTGGCACTTGAGAGACGCCAGTTCTCTCCTCTTGCCAGGCTCTTAAGCACGTTTTGCTTTCCTTATTGTTGTTTTACTTTCCAGCTTCTCTTAGATATCGGAGGGAAGGGCAGGGTGTGGTGGCTCATGCCTGTAATTCCAGCACTTTGCGAGGCTGAGGCAGGCAGATCATTTGAGGTCAGGAGTTCGAGACCAGCCTGCCCAACATGGTGAAAGCCTATCTCTACTAAAAATACAAAATTTAGGCCGGGCGCGGTGGCTCAAGCCTGTAATCCCAGCACTTTGGGAGGCCGAGGCGGGTGGATCACGAGGTCAAGAGATCGAGACCATCCTGGTCAACATGGTGAAACCCCGTCTCTATTAAAAATACAAAAAATTAGCTGGGCATGGTGGTGCGTGCCTGTAATCCCAGCTATTCAGGAAGCTGAGGCAGGAGAATTGCCTGAACCCAGGAGGCGGAGGTTGCGGTGAGCCGAGATTGCGCCATCGCACTCCAGCCTGGGTAACATGCGTGAAACTCCGTCTCAAAAAAAAAAAAAAAAAATACAAAATTTAGCTGGGTGTGGTGGTGGGCACTTGCAATCCCAGCTACTCAGGGGGCTGAGGCAGGAGAATCACTTGAACCCAGGAAGTGGAGGGTGCAGTGAGCTGAGATTGTGCCACTGTGCCACACTCCAGCCTGGGCAACAGAGTGAGACTCTCTCTCTAAAAAAAAAAAAAAAAGATATTAGAGGGAAGAAGGGATGAATCTTTGGTTCTTAAAGATGTGATGAACAATCTCTGTGGCATTTTTATTTAAATTTTTTTCTTTTTGCATTCTTTCTTTCTTTCTTTTTCTGAGAAAGAGTTTCGCTTTTGTTGCCCAGACCGTAGTGCACTGGCACAATCTCAGCTCACTGCAACCTTGCCTCCCAGGTTCAAGTGATTCTCCTACCTCAGCCTCCCTAGTAGCTGGTATTACAGGCATGTGACACCATGCCCCGGTAATTTTTGTATTTTTAGATGGGGTTTTACCATGTTGACCAGGCTGTTCTTGAACTCCCGGCCTCAGGTGATCAGCCCACCTCGGTCTCCCAAAGTGCTGTGATTACAGGCATGAGCCACTGTGCCCAGTCAAGTTTTTTTCTTAAAAGAACTGGGTTGATGGTTTATTTCATAATGTCCTTTCAGACTACAATCTTTCGACACAGACCCACTTTGCACATGAGTCATGTAGGTGAATTCTTCGGTTCCATAAGGAATAGGCTCCCACATTTTCCTTGGTCATACAGTTACGGCAGTTTTAACAGAAATACTTAAACAAGGTTTCTACTTAAACAAATAAACAGAAATAGTAGCACAATCTTGATGAGAAGGAGTAGCTTTGTCACTGGGCTACCAGTCTGCCATACCTGCTTTACAGCTAGAGTCTAACTCTCTCATACTTTAGAAAAGTCATATTTTTTAGGTTACACTCACAGAAAAGGAAAGGCGATCACCTGATGCTGGCTGGCGGGAACAAGATAGAGTGAGTGCCAGTTCTCAACCACCCTATCTTGTAATAATGGACCAAAGTAGAGAGGACTGTGTAGCTCAGATTCTAGCAGAAAAAAGAAAAAAAAAGCCCATGCAAAAGACCAGCGGAATTGGTCTCTGATTCCCTCCCACACCATCTAGTCCATGAAGGTCTGTGCCGTGGGAAGTCTCTAGGATAAAATATAAATAGTGGCAAGAATACAAACACATACATACACACATTTTTTTAATGTGACAAAAAAGGGTCTGGGCGTGGTGGCTCATGCCTGTAATCCCAGCACTTTGGGAGGTCGAGGTGGGCGGATCACCTAAATTCAGGAAATTGAGACCAGCCTGGCCAACATGGTAAAACCCCATCTTCACTAAAAATACAATAAATTAGACAGGTGAGCTGGTGCACGCCTGTAATCCCAGCTACTCGAGAGGCTGAGGCAGGAGAGTTGCTTGAACCCAGGAGGTAGAGGTTGCAGTGAGCTGAGATCATGCCACTGCACTATAGCCTGGGTAACAAGAGTGAAACATCATCTCAAAAAAAAAGAAAGAAAGAAAGAAAAAAAAAAAAAGAAAAAAAAGGGAATGGGAAATCCAAATATTGAGAGCAGAATAAAAATGGAAGAAGTTTTGTAGCCCTAGAATTTTCAGACTTAGGAGAAGAATGCAAGACACAGATAAATAAACGTTACACTATTCTACCCTCTCTGTAATGCAAACTGCTACTGGGTAGCTGCTAAAGTCCAAAGGAAACTAAATGTTTCCATCCAACATTCCAAAGAAGAGACTTGGCCTCAGGTATGTAAGAAAGAAAAGAACAGACACAACGGCCTCACTGGGATAATGGCCTGAAGGGACAGGCAAGGGGGTCATGACACAGGTAACAACGTTTAGGGATATTGTTTTTAAATTCTTCTGCACTAAGTTTACTCTACTCAAGATGAAAGATCTCCAAAAAGTAATAATATTTGTGACTGTGAAGTACTTTCATTACACGTAATTGATGATCGACAAAGGAAGTCTGGATTATTTGAAGTATTTTAATTACACGGAATTGATGACCAACATGTAAATATTCAACTTTGAGAATTAATAACAAAACAGGCTGAAAGAAAACTTTTGGGGAAGGTTAAAAAAGTGGAACGGCCTTTTGCTTACTTAAGAATTCCAAAGTAATAAAACTCCGCAAATGTTTGGGTCTCAAAATAACAAATCTTTGTCTTTTTATGTACTCTGTTTAAATGCCTATTTTTTGTTTAAAAGCAGCCAGGAGCCCCATTGTTGCTAGAGAAGAACAAATCAGCTTCAGAGACTGTGCTGAAGTATTCAAATCAGGACAAACCACGAACGGCATCTATATGTTAACATTCCCTAATTCTACGGAAGAGACCAAGGTGAGGCGTTCGTCCCCCATTACTAACTCCCTGGCTCTAGGCAGGCCACTTTAGAGAGTGGGGAACCAGGGAGCAGAAGTCTCTCCCCAACGACCTCCCCGAGCCTCACACAGTACAAAGCCACTGTTACTGTGCAGCCACCTCACACAGGGCACTTGCCAAGGGCTCTACGTTCCACTGCTGTGCAGAAATACAGAAGCCACATAGGAATGACGTGGAAATGTTATCCTCGGCAAGAAACATCCTCCTTGCATTTTGCTTGACTAACGCTTACTGTTAGTTGTTCCTCCTGAGGTGCCAGATTCATTTCATTAATTTTAAAGAAAATGTCTTCTAGAAACTGAAGTTCAAATAACCATAGTACATCAGCTATAGAGGTTTCATGAAATTAATAATTTCTACTGCCGTGCCAAAGACACTTTTCAGTGATGCTAGTGTTCCTTTCGTTTGTGTCTGTGACTTGCACGGTTTGCTACCGCTGCCTTGCCTCATGCGGGGACGGTAGCAGTTTTATCTACCATGGCCTTTGCTCTATCTGAGCAAATGCTAACACAGTGCCTCGGACCAGAGGTGTCTCAGCATCATGAAAACTGCTTCAACCTTGTGGACTTGCTGATAGGGTCTCAGGGACACACAGGACTCTGAGGACCACACCATGAGAACCGCTGGGGCAGGTGATTCTAACCTCATCTAACACAGTCTGGAAGACTCAAAACACACCAAAGACAGCATTCCTTTTCTTCTCAAGCAGGGGAGTTCACTTCAAGGCATATGTTCATTTATTGTGTGTAAAGTGAGGGCACAGCCAGTACTCACAGCAGGCAGAGCCACAACACAGCTTACCTCAGTTATTCCTCGCTCTGCAAGCTCACTCAGTGAGCCCGTCTCCTGAGCTTTAGATGAGGGAAAAAAAGAAAAAAATCACTCTTGGAGAATGTTTCAATATGGCTTCTCTTCTCTTAAACATTTGATAGGGCAGAATGATATTATAAGAGAATCAGTGTGAAGTGTTATAGGAATACCGGATGACTGCATATATTAAATGTCTATAAATATATAGCTAGTGCTCGACTTAACGACCACGATTGGTTCCGACAGACCGGTCGCAACACGATTTGGTCGTAAGTTGAGTAGGCTATATGCACACGGAGATGGTAGTGCTGCTGGAAGCTGGTCCGCACTGTCGTACGCCCAGCTGGGCAACGTTTGTGCTGCCAGACTCGGAGCAGTCGTGGCTAGCAATTGTGATTGTAAAGTCAAATGGTCGTAAGTTGCATAGGTCGTAAGTCGATCAATACCTGTATTTGCATATATATGTCCAAGCAGCTACATATTGAACCAACACAAATAACGACAGAGAATACACTGGATGCTGTACCAAAATGGAAATTTTAGGGGCTCTGGAAGTATTATCTCTTTTAACTATTATCCTAAGTATTTAATATGGTATTAAAGAAAAACACTTTAAAAATACAAGCATTAGGGTTTTAAAGACCTGGAACTTGAAACAGTAACATATATCTTGATTAAGAATGAAAAAGATAAATATTATTATATTCAACATAATACTTTCCAGAGAAACCTTTCTAATTCATTCATGCTGCGTTAAATCAACCCTGAAAATTAGTTAATGTCCCTAGTGCCCTAGAAGCAGTACAACAGGGGAAGGAAGGGAACGGACCCACAAACAACACAGTCTGCTGCAGAAGAAAAAGCAGGGAACAGACTCTAGGCTATGTGTTTTGATCTCTTTTGCTATCTGGTTTTCATGACAATTCTTTGCATGCCACTGTCCGTCACCAGATGTTGGCATGTTCTTGGCCTAGTGGTAATGGGGACAGCAGTGTCAAGGTGGCGGACAGAGAATGCCTGTGAAATGAGGATGCCTGGAAAGTGCCGCAGAGGGACAGCCCTGCTAACCAGGTGGCCCTGTTGTGTTGCTGGATGTATGTTTTTCAGCCTAAGCACAAGCTTCCCACCCAGTTCACTGTCCCACCCTCCCCCTCTGCCCTGGAATGACTGAAATACTCTGCAGAAAGATGAAAATATATAGTACTCCGAGATTATAGGAGCCTCAGGTCATGGTTGGAAACATTAGGATTTATATTCCCTTTAAACACTTGCAGTAAAAGAAACTCATTTACACAGCAGGGAACAATAAGCTTTCAAAAACCTCAATTTTCTATTCTTGAAAATAAATGGTGTCGCTTGCTACCTCTAAATTCCTTTTGGGACTTAAGACTCCATAACTCACAAGCTGATCCAGGGAGAGACAGACAGATGTGGATGTAAATCCTGGCTCTGCCATTTGCGGCTCTGGGCAAGTCATGTAACCTTTCTGAGCACTCAGTTTCCTAACATGTAACACAACAATGATACCCTCAGCCTGAGAGGTTGTGTCAACACAGGGCCAGCCTCTGGGGTACAACCTGGGGCAGTAAATGGGAGTGGTCACCATTTTCACTCCCTCCAAAGACTACCAGATAACTTCTCTGCCTGGCAGTGTACCCCCTTCTGCCCTAGTTCATCTAATTCAAGAAAAGAACATTCAATTGGTCTTTCAGCAGATCTTTTCCTAAAAGGACAATATATTGCAACTTCAGTTTTAAAAAATTCCTTAGGTTCTCGTACAAGAGAGAGACTGCAAGATGGCATTTATCAAAAGCGTGGATACTTTTGCTAGAGACATGGTCATTTCCTTCCTTACATTTCACAGGACCCCTGAATCCTAATGTTTGTCTCTATGTTTGCTATTTAATCCGGCACTTAACCACGGCCTCAAAGTTGAAGCAAGTCAAGGATTATTTGCTGAAAAACATCAAGCTTTATAGGAAGATATCAGGTTCCTGCACCATGCAGCAGTGGAGATTCAAAACATTAACTGCCCTTAGGTTTGTTGTCATTGGAGTGGTAAGGTCTTGGGAAATAGCTGAGGACTTCTCTTCTGATCCTGATATAATCGATTTCAGCACTTTTACTCAGTGTCTTCTGGCTGTGTGGCTAACTCTATTTGGACACTATCTTTCTCTGCAAGTTTTATAGTCCAATTAACGCTAATACGCCAGTTTTTACAAATCCTCTGTTCTTTTTTCTAAAAACCTGGATGGAGTACTAAGAAAATGCTCTAATAACCTTATCATCATCACTAATGGAATCAAAGAGAATACTGATACGTCTCGAATCATTTATGTGCTGGCAGTGACTCTCAAGACATTTGAGAGTATTGCCTCTCAACTTCCATAACAAGATAAACTTGCTCTCTGAACAACAGAGAACATGTATTTAAATACTGGTAACTTCATAGCAGTGATTTTGACACTGAAGAATCAAATATTCTTGGAACAAGGATAGGCTCATCAAGAACCATATTAATGCTTTCGACCCAAGGGCATGCCATTCAGGATACAGAATTAACTTCAGTATATATACATGAATCCTCAAACCAAAATAGCCTATTCCGCTAGTTTGTAAAATAGTTTTTTTAAAGACATATTGACAGAAGTGCGCAGCACTGACCATGTTGTTGACTGCAGGCAAATAAGAGGCAGTATTATTCATGAACTGATTTAAACTTGGAACTGTGTTGAGGGACTTTTGGCCTATTAACAAAAGAGTCAGGTTTCTCTGTTTTGGCAACATGATGTCAGTGGAAAAAAACATAACAGGAATTAAAGAGATCTTATTCAAATCCTATATATCACTTGGTAGGTGAGTAACTGATCAAATTAATCTAACTTTACTAAATCTTTTCTCCTTTCAAAAATGCAGAATTGTGATAGTACAGCACAGTTGCTGTGAGACTATAGATAATATACACAAAGTATCTGGCAGAGTGCTTGGATCAGAGTGGTGTGTAGCAATGATAATAAGAATTACAGCAATACACAATGATAATAAGGGGTTAGCTTGGGTAGACTGATCTTCTAGGTCTGATTACTTTTAAATGGGGAAATAATTCTCTTCTTAATAAATGTAATTTTCAATAATGGCACATATCTTTCCAAACATGAGTGCCACTGGGGAAGGCAATATGGGCCAGGTGACCTTCCTGGAGAGAGACCAGAGCGAGCTGGGGTGAAGGCTCCTGCAGACCAGGCTGTTCCAGGGACAGTTCTCTGGCTCCACCGGCAATGAGGTATCAGGCAGCCACCGCACTTCCTCGGCGTCTCTCTTTCTTCACGTAGGAAATGAAGGAACAGCACTAGGCACTCTCTTGGTGCTCCTTTAGCTCTCCTCTCTAGATTCTAACTCGTAAACAGAGAACAGTTTGCATTGAAGCTTACCCTGACAAATCGCCTCCATTATTCTCAAAAAGACCATGGAGCGCAACAAAGGAAGAATATCTATTGTTGGTTTTGAACCTTAACTTCAGTATGTCCTACCTTGTATGCGTCAGAAAATTTATCTTACTTTCTGGAAAACATGTTTCGTTCAACTGTAATCTTATTATTTAAAACTATTGATGTAATCTTATTTTCAGGGGTTTTTAATTTCATAATAAAACTCCAGCTGAGTTGAAATTGAGCATGCATGCACTTAGCTTAAGAAAGAATTCTGTGTTCTGGACAAAGTTTAAACCCACAGAGCCAGTTTAAGAGCAGAAACAAAAAGCGTTGCTTAGAGAAAAACTGTGGGCAGTGAGCAATGTACAGAGAAGCCTTCAGTCATACCCTTGGGGCCAAGCTGCTAAGCCAAGCTCAGGTCACACACCTTGCGCCAGGACAGCAGAGCCTCAAGGCCGTTGTCCTCAGAGGTGAACCAAAAAATCTGATTTGCAATGCACATAAAGGAAGCCTAACAGCCCCACAGTGTGAGAATGTAATGGGAGTCCTGCAAAGCCTCGGATCAAAGAGCATCCCCTTCACATGGCTCTCTGCAGAGCTGGCCGGGGCTGGCAATTAGTGAAAGGTTTCAAGTCTGTGAACACAAGTCAATGGCTTTCTACAGGAGGGGGATGTTGGGTTTGGGGCCAATCTGCCAAAATGTGCCATTCACAATGAACCTCTGAAAAACAGCAATCTCAGAGCCAGCCATCAGGGTGGGGTCGTTGGCCTGGAACAGATGATGACAAGCAACTCATATTCTCATCAACACTTTGTATTATATTACTGTTTATTTTTCACCATCATTTTAAATCCATCTCTTTCAATTTATTTAAAACCATCTGTTTCTTGGACAAGCCCGATGGTCTACTCGTGCCTTATATCCCTGGCTGAGTTCTGTACTGGGGGTCCACATTCCTTCTGCTCCTGCTACCTAAAGGGGTCCTCCACCACTCATACCCTGCGTTTCCATTGGCAGGCCTTCTGTGACATGGAAGCTGGTGGAGGTGGGTGGACAATTATTCAGCGACGTGAGGACGGCAGCGTTGATTTTCAGAGGACTTGGAAAGAATATAAAGTGGTATGGACATTTTTAAAAAGCATCAGGAGAGAATTTCCCTTGTGAAAAATAGCTTTCAAGATCTGCAGAACCTTAACCACCAATCCCAAACTAACCAATGACTTTTGCCATAGTTTTTAAAATCGGTGTTCAGATTAGTTCTTCAACTTGGCGTTTCAGTCTCCCCTTTAAAGAATGACCAATATAAGGTAAACTGTATCAAAACAAAAGCTGCAGCTGGTGCGGTGGCTCATATCTGTAATCCCAGCACCTCAGGAGGCCGAGGCGGGCAGGTCACAAGAGGTCAGGAGTTTGAGATCAGCTCACCAACATAGCGAATCTCTGTATCTACTAAAAATACAAATGTCAGCCAGGTGTGGTAGTGGGTGCCTGGAATTCCAGCTACTTGGGGGGCTGAGGCAGGAGAATCCCTTGAACCGGGGAGGTGGAGGCTGCAGTGAGCTGAGATCATGCCACTGCACTCCAGCTGGGTGACAGAGCAAGACTCTGTCTCCAAAAAAAAGCAAGCAGCACGGCTTGGCTTATTTTTAAAGCAGGCTCAGTGTGCCTTGGTGAGCCACTGTTTCATGGTGCCTCCCATTTCCATAAACTGAGCTGTTGATGCTGAGGCTTCTGCTTGAGGCTCCCCAAGTAGTTCTAATCATCCTAATACAAATTTTCTTCCGGCAACAGCTTAGTGTCATATAACTGACCTGTTTAAAATCCATTTTCCTATACAAAGGACCTGAACTGTCACAGCACCAGAAGTAATTTCTGCTATTTTAGAGTTACTCTATGTTAAGCTGACGGACTATTCACTTCAAATACACAAAGAAAAAATATATGAGTAATTGAATTTTACAACTTGCATTACAGGGATTTGGTAACCCTTCAGGAGAATACTGGCTGGGAAATGAGTTTGTTTCACAACTGACTAATCAGCAACGCTATGTTCTTAAAATACTCTTTAAAGACTGGGAAGGGAACGAGGCTTACTCATTGTATGAACATTTCTATCTCTCAAGTGAAGAACTGAATTATAGGTAAGTGAATTATTTGTAATTGAAAGAAAAAGTTAAAAGATTTGCTGGATGACTATTCCAGAAAATGAGAACCACGATGATTTAACCAAGATCTAAACTACTCTTAGATCACCTGAAATCAAAAAACATCTTGTTTCTCAAAATTATTAAGATTATCTGGTTTTAAAATTCTAACTTTGGTTATAGCAATATAAAGAACACTTCACATGAACAGTATTTTGTCTGTCTGTTGTGTTTACTGTGTATCCTCAAAGCCTAGAAGAACCCTGCCTGGCAGATAATTGGCTTTCATAGCTATTTGTAAAATAAGTGAATGGTAAGTGTTCCCACGATAAGATATCATACGAATAGCACAACTGATGGATACTTGTGATTGTACTGTTTTATTTCAAAAGGTTTCAAAAGTTAATCTGTCTTTATGCAGTTTAAACTCATTCCATTGTGTTCAATCTCAAAGTCAAGGTCAGTTGTCAAGTTTAGAGATGGCAGAGTTAGGTGGGATGGTCAGTCAGCTCTACTCTCCTCTACAGGAAATACATCAGATGCACAGCATTCCCTGAGTGTTTGCCTTGTCCTCACCCATTTGGTGGCGATAATCATAAGTAACAGCATGGGCAACCCTGACCGGGAATTTACTTTCTGCTTCTAAATGCCACGAGAGTAGAGACAGAACAGCAACAGGACGTGACAACCTAGTTTGCGAGATAAGCATGGTGAGGCCATGTGCACGGTAAAGCTGGTACACAAGGCACACAGAGGCACTCCAAAATGTGTGTGCAATGGTGGGGGGCAGAGAAGTGAGACTGTGTGCCCAGTGGCACCAACACCACCCTGACAGAGTATAAAGAGCACTGACTGGTGGCACCTGGTGATCATGGAGCACACATTATGAAATACCCACTTCAAGGTCAGAAGTTAGCAAATGAAGGTCAACATGAACATCACAAAAAACAGTCATCATCTGACCTACAGTCTCATCTTCATCTCAATAATGCCCAGCTCAGATGCTCTGCTCAACAGAAATTCCACAGCCTAAACAGTCTCACAGTAGCCACGATGTGAAGGTCTGTGAGCAGGCTGCCCAGGGGAGGGTGGGCAGCACAGAGAAGTGGCTGATCGTCAAGTTGCCTGAACAACCAACTGAAAACTACACAATGCCCAGTATGTCCTGCTTTGCAAACAGTGGATGAAAATTCAGAAGCATGTTTGAGAAACAGAGAAACCTGGATGTGACTCTTCAAACATCAGTGATGCATATTCCATCAGTTCTCATTATGGGAAGACCAGGCTCTCCTAGAGAGGCAACAACGGAGATGAATGAGAAAATAGGTGTGTGGGTCTCACAGCAGTTCCGACTTGATTCCAAAGAGATCAAAACTTCAATGAGACACAAGTGGTTGGTCATTGTTTTACCTCCAAGTTAAATATTTTTTCAACTGGCAACAGTTAGGAATCTACAACAGAAGAATTAAAAAAAAAAGCAGGACGAAAATTAAGGATTAGGCTGTTTGTATAAGAAGATTTTTACAAAATGGGTCATTACCCTTGCACGCTGACATTATAAAAATATTTTAAACTGAGATGGTTCTTAACAGATATTTCCTTTAGAAATGCAATCAATTTTTGGATAGGCCGTTTAGAAAAACACACACATTGGCTTAAAGTTTAGTTTAATTTGCTTGGTAAGATAAAATAGGTATTACATCAAAATTATTACCCTAATAAAACATGATGGTAGGGTGATAAGAGAGCCGTGAAGGGACTGAAACCTTTCAAAACCGCAAATTGTATGCAGCATGTAAGGGATTTTTTTTTTCTGAAGAAATGTTCTCCAAATGTTGGAAAACTTGAATATACATGATATAAGAAATGGATAAATGCATCAACAGAATTTAATTCTTTCCAATAAAACTAAAAGCTATGTGTACATTAAACCTTAAAAATTGGTTACTTTTCACACACATTCTGGCAGTTTTATATACGCTAAGGTTTAACTGTTAAATGTTGACAATACCTCTTTACTCCACTGTTATAGAAAATCATCCCTGGCAAAGCTGCAGAGATTAAAAAAAAAAATCAACCAATGCCAATATAAAGTAACTTCAAGAATGTGGCTATTCTTAATAACCAAATTTTAAAGAAAGAATTTTAAACCAGTGGGCCATAAAAGGACCTCAAATTTTACATTCTCCCTTATTTTTCTTGCCTCTGGGGAAAATTTGACAAGTTCCATGAGAACTAAAAATGTTCAAGGAGACGGGAGAGTTAAAAGATATGCAAGGGAAATGGTTCATCTCAATCCTGCCCATGATTAATGGGAAAACAAGGGAAAGAAAGTAAAGTGTTTCAGAATCCCAACAAAGATGAGCGTTTATGACATTCACATTCTGCAGTAGGCATTTAGAGACAGAGATAAGCCCAATCTCATTTTTGAAACACGTAGGAAAACACGGAGACTCACATGTCCAGTCCATGCCTTAGGAAGAAGTTTCTAGGGCTGCTTTAACACCGAAGTAACTTAGGAGCAACACTTAACGGAACTCCACATCACATGGCCTCACCCTCATATTTTCACAACTTTCTCCAACAAACAAACATCTCTGTTTAGGTGTGTGCCAGTGCAGAAACATGGCAGAGGGGTTTGCTGCATCTGGTGCAAATCCTACCTCCATGAATCAAGAGTCTGACCTCGGACAAGTTCGTATCTCTGAACCTCAGTGACTTCCAGTACAAAAACAAAGATGATGGCCACCACTGTGGGTGGTTTTGAGCATCCAAGGTGCATGCAGGTGTAAGTACCTGGCCTGGCCTGACCAGCATGTAGAACTAAAAGAACTTTTTCTCTCTTCTTTGCACGCTTCCAATACAAACTCTTAGAAATTATATTACACCAATGTGGCAGTTAGTAAACATTAGCAGGTTTTACAAAGAAGGGCATCATCTTGGTGCTTCAAGTGCACTTTCCTGCCACCATTGCAGGATTTGCTTTGCAGGCTCCTCGCCTGGGTCGTCATGTGCCTGTTTCTCCATCAGGATGTGAGGACTCAGCGTGCCAACATGACATACCCCATTACATGAATGCCTGCTCTCGTCTGTCCTGAACCATCTGCCAAGGGGCTTCTTTGCAGCAGTAGCTCTTGAGCATAGTTATGGGAAAAAATTATTTTAAACCCCCAAAACATATTTTCTTCTCCCTTCCCTTATATGTTCCTTGCTGGTACACAGACAACCAATGTAAGCCGTATTTTTCCAATACAACTTACAATGGTTCAACTTGATGATGGTGCGAACGTGATACACATTCAGCAGAAACTACACTTTGAGATTGAAATTTGGATCTTTCCCTGGCTAGTGATATGTGGCACAACGCCCCCTCGCGATGCTGGGCAGAGGCAGTGAGCCACAGCTCCCAGTCAGCCCTGTGGTCACCTGGGTTAACAAGACACTGCGTGCACCACGCTGCCAAATGGCTCTGCCTGGCTGTGGGCGAATGTGAGTGTTCCGGGCACACTGAAGGAAGGCTAGGGCTAGGCTAGGGTGCTCCAAAGCTCAGGTGTATTCCACGCATTTTCAAGCCCCAACATTTTCAACTGATAGTGGGCCTTTCAGAACGTAGCCCCATGGGCAGGCAGGGATTGCCTGTATTGCCAATAGTGTCTGACTGACTAAGACATTTGCTCATTTCTCAATGTCTAATGGTTGTATTACATTATACTACTATACAGACATGGGGCAAAGCAGCCATAAAGATTCATTTTCAGCACCATTCTGTAGATTCCTGCCCCCAACTTAGTGGCCACTCCTCGTCTGCTGCCTTCTCCATCGCCCCCCGCCACCCACCTCTGCAGAACATGATGTTTGAGGTTGGTCTCTTGTCTCTATGGAAGATGACTGGAGACCTGGGAAAAGGACCCTCGTGTTGCATTTCTCTCTTCTGTCTATCTGAAAGCAGCAGAAAAACAAATTACAAGGCACTACAGTCACTGCTGGTAGTTGTGTAAGTGATGTGTGTTGAAGGTTTCATGAAAACATCCCTCTCTGCCGAAGGATTTGATGATAAGTTGGTTCCTGTTTATACCAAGTACAAAATATTTTGTCCGGAGTATGCATTAGTCCACTAATGAGTACAGAACACACTTCTGTAGAATGGAATTCTTCATTACAAAAAATTTTCCACTACGGTATATCAATGACCCAAGCCAATTAAATTTGTTGTTTTTTTCTTTGCACGCTTACAGGATTCACCTTAAAGGACTTACAGGGACAGCCGGCAAAATAAGCAGCATCAGCCAACCAGGAAATGATTTTAGCACAAAGGACGCAGACAACGACAAATGTATTTGCAAATGTTCACAAATGCTAACAGGAGGTAGGGAGGACTTTCTGTCTTCCTATTTGTATTGGCAAGGAACAATATCATAGAGGGAAAGGCTGGCAGTTTGGACTTCAAATTGCGATTGGTAATGATGTCCAAAATTTCATATGTAGACACACTAGTTTCATGCAGGTACATGTGTTTTTCACTTTTTTAGTCTAAGTTTTAAATGAGAGTATGATATGGAGTTAGACTTGTCAGCAAGCCAACTGTGTCTCCTCAGGACCTAGCCTGGGCAAGGAGAGGGCACCTTTAACACTTAGCAAGCTCTTCTGAGTTTGTGCTTGCTGGATACTAGAGAGATGGTTTAATTACATTTTGCTTTATTTAAAAAGTTAAAAATTCAAAGTGGTGACCAAAACAGTAATATAGATTATAGAAATCTTTCTAACTAATAATTTAATGTTCAAACAAGAAATTTCCAGTTATCTTTTTATTTATTTATTTTGAGACAGAGTCTCACTTTGGTGCCCAGGCTGGAGTATAGTAGTGTGATCTCAGCTGACTGCAACCTCCACTCCCCAGGCTCAAGCGATTCTCCTGCCTCAGCCTCCCCAGTAGCTGGGATTATAGGCGCCTGCCAATGCACCCGGCTAATTTTGTATTTTTAGTAGAGAAAGGGTTTCACCTTGTTGGCCAGGCTGGTCTCAAACTCCTGGCCTCAGGTGATCTGCCCACCTCGGCCTCTAAAAGTGTTGGGATTACAGGCATCAGCCTCCACACCCAGTTGTCTTTTTAAAAAAGATTTCATTAATATAGAGCAGACACCTATAAGCAGAAACAAGTTGCCAACCTTTTTTAGTGCCTCAAATTAAAATGAGTGATCTTCTACTTTAAGGCCTTTTTTGTTTTCTACTTTTAATATTGTTTTCTACTTTTTCATCGTCTGTTGTAAAACAGACAATGGAAACCACACTCATAAGCAAGCCTGTTGTAGCAGTCACTCAAAATGGATAGGGTGGTATTCAGAAACATTTGAGAGCTCAAACACAGGAACCAACTTTTAGAAAACGTAATTTTTCTGATTTTTTAAAAGTTTAGGAATTCACTGACAGGAACAAACACTACTTAGTAACTGAGACAAGAAAAACGCCTGACAAATGCTGTCAAGTTAGTTCTTAGAAAACACTGAAAGATTTAAAGTAGCAACAAAAACTCTGCCAACAGTGCAAACTGAATGTAAAGAATAAGAGGAAAATTGGCAGGGTTTAATTTCTAGAGAACATAAATCATATTTGCAAAAATTAATACGTTTCTCATCCAGGAAACCAAAGGTAAGAGCTATGGTCAACATATCTTTATAAATCTAAGGCGCTACTAAAACAAATGGATGAGTCAAGTGATGATGTATTTACACTATCAGAATCACTAACAGTCAAAAGGAGGATTTAGTAATGAAAGGAATATGAAATTTGGTAATTTTCATGTCTTTAAATTTCATAGCTTTTATACTGAAAGAATCAGGCCCCATTAAAAAAAAAAAAAAGTAATCCTCTGGCTCCTGACATAATACAACTACTATCTGGTAACATAGGTCCTCGGTATTAACCATTATTACACCAATGAGCAAAGCCCTCATATTGATTTTGCAAAGGCTTCTTAGAAGTTTCCCTGATCCTGGCACGATGATCCTTTTGAAAGCTGAACAGCGGGGAAAGCGGCCGGGTGGAGGAGCCACAGATAGCCAGGGCTTTGTTTCCTGTCAGCCGTTCCCCCATGCTGAACCCAGCTCTCTCCTTGAGAGGCTGGTGGTTTCTAGAACACCCGTGTGTGGGGAGCTTCTCAGGAGAGTAGGAGAATCACATTAATAACCAAGGAAACAATATATTTACTTACTCAAATCACGATTTAGGGGCTGAGAATGTAACTGGAAAAGAGGCTAGGGAGAGGAAGAGCGGCCAGAGAGAGAAACTGGAGTGGTCTTGCCTGTGAAGAGGTCAAATTCCAGCCCGTGGTCTGGACCATGAATGAACCAGCCTAATGAGCAGCTCGATTTTGCATGGACAGCAAGTTCTCTAGTCAGGCAAGCTCCAGAGGGGACTGACCTATGAATCTGTCAGAGTCCTAAATATGTGAAAGATTCTGAATAGAACACGCAAACTTCTATCCAACCTACAGTCATCTGAATCCACTGAAGTCATTCAGCTGTCACCACCCGGAAAGAATGTGGGAACCTGGAAGAAAAAACTGGCACTCACCAACTGACGTGTAAACATAACATATACATATACATAGATATATTTCTCCCCTCCTTTGGCATCAGAGATCAGAGTTTTTATTTAAGAAACAATACATCACAGGTAAGGCTAAAGAGGCCCTACCATTGCCACTCCCTACCTGCTGCTTGGGTCGAGGTTAATTGCCTTTATGTATTAATTTTCCTACATATAGAGAGATCAATCATAATTATTTTCTATAATTTAAAAATTAATATAAGGAGTATCATCCTATATGTGTCCCTCCAACACAGTATTTGTGAGATTTATTCAGATTAATATAGGCAAAACCAAGGTCACAGGAGTCCTCCTTATCCTTAGGGGATACATTCTAAGATGCCCAGCAAATGCCTGAAATCACAGACGGTATCAAACCCTATGTGTACATTTTTTCCTATTCAGATACTTATGAAGTTTAATTTTTTTGTTTCTTTGTTTTTTTGTGACAGAGTCTTGCTCTGTTGCCCGGGCTGGAGTGCAGTGGTACAGTCCTGGCTCACTGCAACCTCCACCTCCCAGGTTCAAGCGATTCTCCTGCCTCAGCCTCCCAAGTAGTTAGGACCACAGGTGCCTGCCAGCACGCCAAGCTGTATTTTTAGTAGAGACGGTGTTTCACCATGTTGGCCAGGATGGTTTCGATCTCATGACCTTGTGATCCACCCACCTTGGCCTCCCAACATGCTGGGATTACAGGTGTGAGCCACCACACCCGGCTGAAGTTTAATTTATATACTGGGCACAACAAGGGACTTAACACAATAGTAAAACTGAGTAATATACAACACATTGCTTCTAATTTCATGGACTTAAGATTTGTTCTTCTATAGATTTTAGCATCCTTAGTGTACGATTTTTTTCTTTCCTTATTAAGTCAGGAACTTTCACCTTTTCACTTAAACAAAGCACTTTACAGCTTCTCTTTGGCATATCTGAATTGCCAGCATCATTATTCTTGCACTTTTGGGGTTATTACTGAGTCAAGTAAGGGTTACTTGCACATAAGCACTGTGATGTTGTGACAGTTGATTTAACAACCAAGACAGCTACTAAGTGGTTAAAAGGTGTAGACAGCATGAATCCACTGGATAGAGGGGATCATTCAGGCATTGGGTGGGATGAAGTGGACAGCAAGAGATTTCATCCTGTTACTCAGAATGGCAGGCAATTTAAGGCTTGTAGATTATTTCTGGAATTTTCCATTTAACAGTTAGGGCCTCAGCTGACTTCAGGTATCTGAAAGTGCAGAAAGCAAAAACTGCAGGTAAGGGGACACTGCTGTGTTTCTTTCTCTCACAAATCCCAGCATGCTCCTGTTTTCTGGCCGAGCCCAGAAATTAAGGTGTAGATGGGTTTCCACTCCCAAACCCCCTGTGCTGGGCACCTCTCCTGCCCTGGCTTTAGCTGAGTGAGAGCACACCCTCACTTTAAACTTCCTTTTTGTCTCTGAAATGTACAGACTTCCTTTTTATGTAGCTCCACTGAGTACTTAATATTTTGGGTTAAATTTCAACCAAAAAAATCCTTTAACAGAGCAAGGGGAACCTGAGTGAGTCCAGCTTACCATGTTGCAGGGACTGGATAGTAATCCTGCTTGAAAGTGCGTTTTCCAACGGTTCCTGGGATGTCTGCTTATCCCTGCTGTAAGTGTGTTCGCACTCTGTGCTTATCAAATTGAACCATGGAGGGGTCATGCCTCTCCACGCAGCACAGGGGAGAAGGTGGAGGAATGCTTGCAAAAGCATTCGCAGTAACGGAACTGTGATGTCATGGGCATTCAGCCGGAGACCCATCCCTCTGCCAGTAAACATCCTATACTTGCCATCATCTGCATGTACCTACTCCACAGGCCTGGAATGTGCCTCCTGGCTTAGCTGAGTATGGCTGTCTTCGTGGAGGAATTGCCACCACCTAGTTTCTAATTCCTTCTGTGTTTTACTTTCACAGGCTGGTGGTTTGATGCATGTGGTCCTTCCAACTTGAACGGAATGTACTATCCACAAAGGCAGAACACAAATAAGTTCAACGGCATTAAGTGGTACTACTGGAAAGGTTCAGGCTACTCGCTCAAGGCCACAACCATGATGATCCGGCCAGCAGATTTCTAAATGCCCGAGTCCACCTGACAAAGACTGTCTCGTGCTATTTTCAAAGACTTAAGCCCAATGCACTGAAAGTCACGGCTGCACACTGTGTCCTCTTCCACCACAGAGGGCATGTGCTCGGTGCTGATGGGACCCACGTGCTCCAGATTAGAGCCTGTAAACTTTATCACTTAAACTTGCATCACTTAACAGACTAATGCAAGACCCTAAACATCGTAACTGCCATCAGACAGAACACCCATGCAAAGATGAACCCAAGGCTGAGAATCAGACTGACAATTTACAGACTCAGCTGTCACAACCAAGAATGCCATATGCAAGTTTATCAGTAAATAACTGGAAAACAGAACACTTACGTTATACAGTACAGATCATCTTGGAACTGCATTATTCTAAGCACTGTTTATAGACTGTATAAAAACCCATATGTCCTGAATTCACCATCACTATCGCAATTAAAAGAAAGAAAAAAATCCCTAAGCCATAAAAACATATATTCGGGGATATTCTGAGAAGGGGTTACTAGAAGTTTAATATTTGGAAAAACAGTTAGTGCATTTTTACTCCACCTCTTAGGTGCTTTAAATTTTAATTTCAAAAACAGCATATTTACATTTAGGTTGACAGCTTAGTTTTAAGTTAATACTGAAATTTCAAGTTTATATGGTGGAAACTTCCAGGATCTCTGAAATTATCAACAGAAACGTGTCATTTTAGTTTATATGCAGATTGTACTATTTTTCTCTGCCTGATTGTTAAATATGAAGGTATTTTTAGTAATTAAATATAACTTATTAGGGGATATACCTATGTTTAACGTTTATAATAATATTTACAATTTTATAATTTGTTTCTGAAAGAACCGATTGTGCCTTGTGATAAGGAAACCTTTGATTTTTAATGATGAGGAAAATTATACATTTCATTCTATGACAAAGAAACTTTACTATCTTCTCATTATTCTAAAACAGAGGTCTGTTTTCTTTTCTAGTAAGATATATTTTTTTAGAACTAAGCTACAATTTAATTTGTGGTTGAGAAAAGTGTTCTATTTAAGACATTTACAAAGCTATAATCTCAAGATTCACCCTGAAATTTACTTAAGAAAAAAAATAATTTACACTAGTAAGATTTTTTTATGTCAATTAGCAAACTGAAAAAAGTGTTTCAAAGTACAAAAAATCTGTTCTTAATATATTTAAGTATTTGCAGAAAATTTGAGAACACAGGGCCAAGTGCAGCAGCTCATGCCTGTAATCCCAAGTACTTTGGGGTGCCCAGGCAGGCAGATCACCTGAGGTCAGGAGTTCAAGACCAGCCTGGCCAACACGGTGAAACCCTATCTCTACTAAATAATATAAAAATTAACCAAGCTAATGGTGGCAGGTGCCTGTACTCAGGAGGCTGAGGCAGGGAGAACTGCTTGAACTGGGGACGTGGAGGTTGCACTGAGCTGAAATCATGCCATTGCACTCCAGCCTGGGTGACAGAACGAGACTCTATCTCAAAAAAAAAAAAAAAAAAAAGAGAAAGAAAGAAAAAGAAAATTTGAGAACACAGCTTTATACTCAGGACTACAAAACTCCTAGAGTTTTAACTCCTTTTGAAATTTTCATAGTACGATTAATACTAATGAACATTTGTGTAAAGCTTTATAATTTAAAGGAAATTTCTCATATATTCCTTTCTGAGTCATTTGCAAGGAAGTTCAGAGTCCAGTCTGCAACTGGCACCTACTACATGTCTGTCTTTGCCTGAAAGCTTACCACTATTTTTTCTTTATTCCACTTTAAAATCTAATTTATTTTACCTCAACTTCTCTTCCCCCTTGACGTAGTTTTAGAACACACAGGTGTTGCTACATGTTTTGAGTCAATGATGAACTCTGGCAAAGTCAAGGCTGTTTTATTTCCACCAAGGCGCACTTTTCCAACAACTATTCAACTGAGTCAAGAACCTCCCTTTCTCAGAACTGTATCTACCTTATATTTAAGAAGGCTTTATGAATTGAACAATGGTATCACGGCCTTGTATCAATCTGAAAAACAACTGAAAGTAAGAAAATTTCACAGCCTCAAAAGACAACAGCAAGTTTCTATGATACCTCAATGACAACAACGATGGACACTTAGGCAGGGAAATGATAATGCAGGAGAAACTGGCAACAACACACTTAATTTATATCAATTATCCAACTAGGCAGGTGAAATGAAATTCAAGGTCAAATCTCATAATGTCATTGAGCGTTATATATAATCTCTTATGACAGAGAATGGGGGAATTTGTGTTTTTACTTTACACTTCAGTTCCTTACACAGTATTTCAAACAAACAGTCTTGCTTAGAGGAATTAATTTTTTCTCTCCTTAAGAAAACATTTATAAAGCTGAAAGGAAATCAAACAGTAATCTTAAAAATGAAAACAAAACAACCCAACAACCTAGATAACTACAGTGATTAGAGAGCATAATTCAACTCCTTGTTGTGTTATAGTCATATAGCCTACTCAAACAACTAAATAATAATACTGGTGGCAGACAAAAAAATCACCATTTATCTTTCAGATATTAATCTTCTGAATAGGCTGTCACAAACCATTTAACATTTTTGAACATGAAAGGCAACTTCTAAACATTCCTGTATCCAACCATTGAAGTGGAATTTAGGAAAGTCATAAAAATATAAAGACGGTTATCACAGCACTAACCAGCCATAATTTTTATACCTATCAGTTCTATCTCTATTAACAGTAAAAACATTAAGCAAGACATAAGTCTACCTTCCCAAGATTTTAGTCTTTTTTCATTTTTGTTTTTCTCGATTCTGAAGACTTTCGTCATTAAATTTTCTTTGGACTTCATTCTCACTACTTTTTGGAGAATGGTCTCAGGTTCTCACATTTGTTCTCACAAATAAATTGATAAAAGTGTTAAGTTCTGTGAATGTCTTTTTAATTACGGGCATAATTGTACCTGACTTGATAAACCTTAATCTACCCTTATGTTTTTAGTAATGTCTTGAGAACACCAAATTGCAGAAAACAATATCTGACTTACAGGAGCTGCAGGGAAGTGGTTAGAGAGTTCGAACGGCTCCTCAGAAATCCAGTGACCCGATTCTAAAGACCATAGCACCTGCAAGTGATACAATAAGCAGATTTACTATAGATTTATTAGGCTTAGTGGGCAATAAACCAACGTCACTTTGAAGACACAGCAAAAACAAAACAAACAAAAACTTCAACAGTGATACAAGCCACAGATCTGAAATAGATGTGTTCTCAACAAAGTGCCTTCAGAATCTTCATGTTGCATAAACTTTATGAATGGTAATAAAAACTTGGTTAAGAAAAAGTCTCATGATAACAAGAAATGTGAGTCATTATTCTTGTGAGGCCAAATATTTAAACATTACCCACTTTTTAAACATACGAAATATTATACATAGATTTTAAATTCCAAGTTTCTCATTTATGAAGTGTTTTATAAATAGTCCTCTGTAAATATTCCAGAATTTTATTAATTAAAACAACAAATTAAAAGAAGATGGATCACAAGCCTAAATTCAAAAGCAATCCCTTTGGCTTGCGACTTTCTAACATTGGCTAATATTTTCAGAAGTCCTCTGGAACACACTTGAAATTCCTTCTGAGACTTTGGAAGAGTAAAATGTCCCACAAACAAGCTTTCATCATCATCATTATACTCAGTATTTGAATCTCCACACTTTTAAATGATCAATACAATGTTTTCCTTTTTAATTCAGTAATATTTGAGGTTCTGCAGCCATCTCTACTCCAGGACCAAACTCCCTGAAAATCTATCTTCATACACCAGAATTTTAGGGCTAAAATAAGAAAGCTGGATTACATAATTCATCTTTATTGTTTATTATTTTTGAGACACTCTCACGCTGTTGTCCAGGCTGGAGTGCAGTGTTGCACTCTCAGTTCATTGCATCCTCTGCCACTCAGGTTCAAGCAATTCTCCTGCCTCAGTGTCCCGAGTAGCTGAGACTACAGGCGCCCGTCACAACTGGCTAATTTTTTTTGTATTTTTAGTAGACATAGGGTTTCACCATGTTGGCTAGGCTGGTCTCGAACTTCTGGCCTCAAGTGATCCACCGACCTCAGCCTCAATGCATGTTATTTAAAGAGATACACTAACAATATGTGAGGCTTCCCACAAACTCATACAATTAGCCCAGGAAATAAAATGTAAAAAGTTTCAAAATCAGATTCATTTCACAAAAGAGGCAACATAAAAGAATAGTACAGTGAGAAAAGCAATGTACCAGTGACAGAAGCCAGGGAACCAGCCTTAAAAATGTGTGTGACATTTAAGTTCAAATATAATCCATGTTAAAATGTTAAACGAATTTAAACAACCTGATGGAGAAAATTTATGTCCTCTGAATTTATACCTTTCTAAATGTTAAGAAAATAAAATCATAAGAGGCTAAAGTAGAGTTCTGGTGTCCGTAAATTAATAAATTTAATTAACATAGGCATCCCAGAAATTAATATTGTATAGAGATAGGAGAAAACACTAATTCAATTGTATTAAAATCATCAAATCAGAAATACAGTGTAAACACTTTGCTCTAGAACTTTCATTGGCAAAACACATCTTCACCTTAGTAGGGTGCTCAAAACAGTGAAAATCTTTGAAAGAGCACAGGCAAGGCTGTAAGCAAACTTAAAAATATTGGCCCAACATCTTTCTCATAAGAAGGGTGGAGTGAATTCAGCATCTGCTGCAAAAGGAACTTAGCATCTTGTAGATAAGACATTCCATAACGAAAATCATGGTTTTTTAAAAAAATATTTTAAGATTATCATTCATAAAACCCAAACCTTGCTGATGAATTTAAATAGGAACTGCGTCTGTGAATAGAAACTGCTTCGTTTCTTCTTTTCTGGTTTGTATGCACATTTTATTTCTCACGTTATTGCACTGGACACAACTTTCGGTTCAAGGCAGGGAAGGAGCAGTGAGAGCATCAGAGTTCTTTGAACTATTTTGTGAGGCAGATTTTTTCAGTTTATTGTAGTATAGAGTATCATAAAAACCTAAAGTGGGCCTGGCGCTGTGGCACACATCTGTAATCCCAGCACATTGAGAGGCCGAGGTGGGCGGATCATCTGAGGTCGGGAGTTCAAGACCAGCCTGATCAACATGGAGAAACTCCATCTCTACTAAAAATACAAAATTAGCCAGGCATGGTGGCGCATGCCTGTAATCCCAGCTACTCGGGAGGATGAGGCAGTAGAATCGCTTGAACCCAGGAAGGGAAGGTTGCAGTGAGCCGAGAACACACCATTGCACTCCAGCTTGGCCAACAAGAGTGAAACTTCACCTCAAAAAAAAAAAAAAAAAAAAAACCCTAAAGTGTTCAAATTAATGTATCTATGTTCAAATTAACGTATCTATTATATTAATGTGTCTTCTATGTGCAAATTAACCTATAGAAAGCACAAGTTTTTTTGTGTGTAGCTGTTTTTAAAGAATTTATATATATATATACACGTATATATATGTATACATGTATATATACACGTATATATGTATATGTGTATATATATATTTTTTGTTTTGTTTTGAGACAGAGTCTCGATCTGTCACCAGGCTGGAGTGCAGTGGCACAATCTTGGCTCACTGCAATCTCCATCTCCCATGTACAGGCGATTCTCCTGCCTTAGCCTCCTGAGTAGCTGGGATTACAGGTGTGCACTACCACACCCAGCTAATTTTTTGTATTTTTAGTAGAGACAGGGCTTCACCATGTTGGCCAGAATGGCTTGATCTCCTGGCCTCATGATCCACCGGCCTCAGGCTCCCAAAGTGCTGGGATTACAGGGGTGAGCCACCACGCCCAGCACGAATTCATATTTTTAAAGCCACTTTAGCTTCACAGCAAAATTAAGCGGAAGGTACAGAGAGCTCCCATACGCCTCGTGCCCCACACATGCATCTCAGTGTCTACCACTGGAGCACAACATGTGTTGGACCTAGTCCTCCCATGCTGACACATCATTATCACCCAAAGTCCACAGATTACATTACAGTTCCTTGTGAGTGAAAAATGTACACTATGATTGAGTAATGGGCTGGCCAGTGCTTGCAGTACTTCCGCGAGCTGTTTTCAACTTCCTATTTCTTTCTTTTTTTTAGACAGATTCTTCCTCTGTCACCCAAGCTGGAGTGCAGTGGTGCCATCTTGGCTCATTGCAGACTCTGTCTCCTAGGTTCAAGCAATTCTCCTGCCTCAGCCTCCTAAGTAGCTGAGATTACAGGCACACACCATCATATCTGGCTAAATTTTTTGTTTTGTGGGTTTTAAAAATTTTTTTTGGTAGAGATGGGGTTTCACCACATTAGCCAGGCTGGTCTCGAACTCCTGACCTCAAGTGATCCACCTGCCTCGTCCTCCCAAAGTGTTGCGATTACAGGCATGAGCCCCTGTGCTGAGCCCTCTCAACTTCCTATTTATTCCTCAAAGAATAATTAGAAATTTCTGAGTGATCAAAAGGATTACAGCTAAATATCAGTAAATGTTACATCTCCTGTCAGGACCAATCAAATTAATTCTTATGTATTCATTAATTTATTAGTATTTTCTTAACTGCCTAAGAAATTTTCTTCAGCTAAGAAAAAAATTTATTCACAGAGTATTTCATAAGCAAAAACACTGAACAAGGTACTCAATTTTTGACTTCTCAAAAAAAATAAAGAGGGAAAACAACAAGCAATTATTTTAATGTGTTAGTGATAAGAGCAAACTTGGGGGAGGGGAGGCAATCTGTAAGAGGAATTTAAAGTTGGGCTTGAAAAAATGACCACATTTAATAATGACTCCCTACTGGTATGAAAAGTACAACTGTAACATGAAGCTGATTTAACTCACTGGAAAGCATTGATGATTGTGTTGAAAACATTTGTCAACATTCACAATTTTTGATAGGCAACATTACTGTAACGCTAAGTTTATTCCAAATTTCTGAATAGCCGGCCTTATCCAAGTATACCACCCAGCAGAGCTTACCATCCACCATACTGTGAAATTCAACTGCAGTTGTGGTACTAAGAATACCTGAGGGAATGTAACGAGAAAGTAAAAAGCTGGGGAGGGTGGGGTTGCTTCCTTGTGGCATACGAAAGTCAACCATATTCTCTGCATACAAAAGACTCCACGTTGTGTAAAACAGGGGTCCTGGTACCAGTCTGTGTCCTGTTAGGAGCTGGGCCACACAGCAGGAGGTGAGTGGCAGGCGAGCCAGTCAAGCTTCATCCGTATTTACAGCGCGTCCCAATGCTTGAATTACCACCTAAGCTCCGCCACCCATCAGGTCAGCAGTGGCATTAGATTCTCATAGGAGCTCAAGCCCTATTGTGAACTGTGCATGTGAGGGATCTAGCTCCTTATGAGAATCGAATGCCTGACGACCTGTCACTGTCTCTCATCACCCCCGACGGGACTGTCTAGTTGCAGAAAACAACCTCAGGGCTCCCACTGATTCTACATTACGGTGAGTTGTAGAATGATTTCATTATATATTACAATGTAATAGTAACAAAGGGCACAATAAATATAATGCGCTTGAACCATCCTGAAACCATTCCTCCCTCACCCTCCCAAGCCCCTAGTCCCTGAAAAAATTGTCTTTCACAAAACTGGTCCTTGGTGCCAAAAGGGCTGGAGACTGCTGCTGTAAAATACCACTTGATAAATTAAAAATCAAATCTTGTCCCACAGATGTAAGCCATGGGAGTGTAGTTAATTTCAAACAGTTCAAAAGTATGTTTTACGTTCTTTACTGAATGATGCTTTAGGAGTAAAGTTAGACACATCTTTAATCATTGAAAGTGATTGGGGTGTTTTTGCCACTGTCTCCTCCATCCACCCTTCACTCCACCAATTGTGGTAAAAAGTGTGGTTGTAGGTGTTTAAGGTGTAGAAACACATTCTGCATTTGCAGATTTCTTCCTTAAGAATAACAAAAGTAATAATTATTAATTTTTTACTAATTTAAGCTAACAAAATTATAAAACTCAATTACAAAGATTTTTCTCATAAGATTTTATAGATCCTTTGTCTTAGTTGTTAGGGTAATTGATTTTCTCAACATTTATGA